AGCTCTAAAACTAAACCCCAAACCCTAAACTGAACCCTAAATCCCAAACTACAAGTAACAGCCCTAAGCCCAACACCCTTCCCCCTTTTCGCGCTTCTCCGCCTGGGCTCCCGTCTTGCCATGGGCCTTGGCCGCCGCTTTCACGGGCGGGAAGGAGAAGAAACTCTCGGCCTGGCGAGACGTTTTTTGGAAGTTTTGCTTTTGGTTTTAGAGTTTCTTTTTGCTTTTAGAATTTTTTTTGGTTTTAGAGTTTAGGGGTTAAGGGTTTAGGGTTTCGGGTTTAGGCTTTAGGGGTTAAGGGTTAAGGGTTTAGGGTTCCGGGTTTAGGGATTAGGGTTCAGGGATTATCGAGTTAAGGGTTTACAGGTTTTAGGGGGTTTAGGGTTTAGGGGTTAAGGGTTTATGGGTCCGGTATAATATCCCCCCAACCCTACTCTAATTATTGCGGCTCGTACATGACATCCACCGCCACCTTAACCACGTCGCAGTTGGGATCAAGCGGCGCACCGCGCACGCAAAGCTTTATCACATGCCGAGCAAGAAACGTAAACGACACTAACAGCTTTCGAGAAGCATGGGTTGTGTTTACACAATTGTCGACGACAGCATTGATCTTCCTGCTGCGCTGTCGTCATCATCACCATCATCATCAGCCGCAGAAGCAGCAAAGACAACGTCATCACTGTCACCGTCATAGTCCTCGTCATCACCATCTTCGTCTTCATCAATGCTACGAGTCCATCATATACTGGGTCATAAGTCGAATGACTTACACTATGCCCAACAATGACAGTAGCAACAAACAACATAAACAAGCAACCGAGGATACTAGCAGCATGCCAACCATAATCATCAGCAGCAGCTCCAAACCCGAAACAGTGAGCCAACTGCACGTGATTGCTAGGGTGCCTGGGACGCATCGCCGGAGCCCAAAGACGCATAAGCCTGCAGCACGATGCCATGCTTCTGGCAGAACTCCTCAGCCAGGGAGGTGTTGCATAGGGTTTAAGATCCGGGGTTCAGGAATTCGACAAAACGCACCTGCACCCTGAGACACTGTTCTTATAGGGACGCTTAGGGGGGTAGGGGGAGGGGAGGACTACACCTCCTTAAATGGGCCTTATTAAGTTCTTATTATGGGCATTAAGGCCCCCTACCTCCCTCCCCCCTACCCCCCAAAGGATCCTTGTGATGTTCACTTTCAGGAAGGGGGCTGCTTGAGCGTCCTATTCACAAGAGCAACCGATTCCTTGCATCGACCGCAAGCTTTCGAAGGCAGCTATAAGGGTTCCTTTAAGGGTCCCTTTAAAGGGATCTATAGGGATACAATAAGGGTATGGGGTTTAGGATTCTACCTAGGAGTACAAGAAACTAACTCACACCAGTCAAACAACAACAAAAGCATCACAAGAGCGATCATGAATAACAACAGCAGCATGAATCAAGAGCAACAGCACCAGCGACAAGAAAAGTCCCTAAATCATGGTCGGAAATTTAGAACCTACCGCATCACAGTCTGGGTAAGTAGGCTTTACCCTTGCCACCGTGTTGCCAGCAGCTCTTTCTGAACAAGTCTAGGGTGGAACTCCACCTGGTTGATCATCGGCCTCGTAGTTCGTCTGAGGGGAGAAGAAATGGGAGTTTCCAAAAAATGGAGGTACCTTAGTTGGGGTCCTTATAATAAGAATCCTACTAGGTACTATATTAGGGTCCCCTATTTTCGAAAACTTTCGAAAACCACAAAATTAAAATGGTGTTGCTAGCAGGATCTTCGAGGGCTCCTCAACCCTTAAACCCTACACAATCGACCCTGAACTCCAACTTAGTTGCTGAGTTCGTAAGCCCCAAAACGTGCACACTTTCAGTTTTTATAGTGGGTACTGTAATATTCTCCCAAAATGTGTAAAGTGTATCCACTCAGCTACGAAGCTAAGCCCTAAACTCCCAACGATGAGAGGTTGCATGTGAGGGGTGGGTTTCATGCGGGAATTGTGAAGTTCCTGGAGTGCTTGTTAGGTCTTCGAATTCAGGGATCTTGGGGATTCGGGATCAGGGTTCAGGGGTTTGGGAATTTCGGGTATATTAAGGTTCATTACCTACATATATATATATATATATACATATATATATATATATATATACACATATGTATCATCCAAGTATCTGTGTACTTACCTATCTATCTATCTACCTATCTCTTCAATCTAGCTATCGGTCAATCCATCCGTCGATCCATCTATCTGTCTATCTCTCTCTCTCTCTCTCTCTCGCTATGTATATACAGATGTGTATATAGGTATGTTATATAGATATATGCATAGGCTTTTGGGCTTGTGGTTCACGTGAGACGCCGCCGGGTTGTGATGCTCTGTCGGGTTTAGGGTGGAACGGTGTCAGAGGCTATGGCCAGAGTACAACTCAAGATCTCAGGGTTGATGCAAACTGACTTGTCCCTTAAGCCCTTTGAAAATTATCTACCATTTTGGTTCTCTACAAAAACAGTAGGGGAAATTAAAAAAGATCCCAAAGGACAACCCAGTAAGTGCCAGGCCCGCCTCGCACGTTCAAGAGTAATGAAAGCAACTGCGCTGGGACCCATAAAGAGGAAGGGGGTGATCCACAGCAGGTGCCCTTTCAAGGTTCAGGGTTCAGGGGTACTTACTCAAAACCTTGAGAACACTGCTTCATCTCAGGTCCAAGCTTTATCTTGCAGGTCTTCATCAGCTGTTTCAGGTGTCGCACAGAGTAGTTGGTGACGCCGATAGCCTGCCATCACTGAGACCCCAGATTTCAATTGCTTATGTGGGCTACGGTTGGGGTCTGCAAACGGAAAGAGCAAAGTACTTCAGAAGATCCAATAAGGTGCACCTCCTGACAATCAAGAGCTCGGCATCTAGGAGTGTCGAACAGCAGAGCAAACAGTCGAAAAGCAAACAGCTTAGCAATACAAGGGTCTTCTCAAAAAATAAAATAGTGGCGTGGCCCGTTCTACCATGTTCTACTACGGCTATGATTGGGACTAGGGTGCTAAAGGAATAGCTTTACACATTATTCAAGCTTCTGTAGTACCACTGGCAACTGCAGGAACACTGGAAATCAACATAGCGGCTTAAACAAAACACTGGTACTTGTACTCTCCGACAACAAAACCCAAACTCCAGCCCGCCCCCGACCTTGCCAAAGCATAGTAGGGGCCGTAAAAACTCGAATGACGTTTCGGGGTAAATTACACTATAACTATTGTTGCTTTGTGTTTCCCGAACCCCTGAACCCAAACCCCGGCTTCTACTTCCCCTTCTGGGCCCTAAACCCTAAACCCTAAACCCTGAACCCCGGCTTCTACTTCCCCTTCTGGGCCCTAAACCCTACCTGGACTTCCCCGCGAGCCCAAATATTTGGGCTAGTCTGAATCGGGCTTTCGCTAACCTCTGATTCGGTCTCATAGTATAAATCAGACCTGTGCCCGAAATTAGCTTTCGCTCGGCAATCCAGCTGAGAATGGTTCGAAGAGGTCCGATTCAGCACAAGTGGATCACTGCAGGTCTGTTTCGGATTCAGAAAGGTCATGGAATCAAACATTGTGGAGTTGCCGTACAACACAGGTTGTGACAGGTTTGCTTCTGATCAAACACAGGGGTCTTCCGAAGATTCGCAAGTTCGTGGCATGGATACCGATGGCTCCGGGAATTCCTTTTCGCTTTGAGGTGCCGCCGCCCCCTTGCTGCCTTTTGTGATGTTGCTCATGCAGCTGTTCGTGCAACACCCATCATGTGATGCATGTGCCTGCTCTTGAATGCAATGAGTGCCGGAGTGCTGCAGCCACCAGCTTAACTTTGAGTAGACCTAGTGTGATATACACTCTCATGAGTACATGGTGGGATGGGTTGGACCTGAGCCTCCGGAGGCAGATCACTGATCAAGGCCTGTAGTGTTCGGGAATCTTGCCTGTTTTTCGATGTTTTGTGAAGCTTTCTAGAGAAACTACCCGATGCAGGTCTGGGCGATTTGCCGCTGGAGTTTTGGACGAAAGCTTTCCTTGTGCTAGTGCCGGACTGGCAGGACCTTTGTTTGGAACCATCAGTTTATTAGCCCTGTCTCAGTGCTCAATAACCCAAAGTGTATTCCAGGAGGGCTGCAACGTGAAGCCGAGCATGGTCAAGACGGTGATGGTGAACCATCGTGTGGGTGGCTTCGCAAAAGATCTTGCCCAGTCCTACCTTACAGGACTCATGCACGTTTGAAGCCCCCATGAACATTCAATTCGCCGTTTCTCCGGGTCCCATGCAACCCTGAACCTACAAACCCGAAACCCTATATAAGCCCTGAGCTTGATCTCGAAGCCCTATAGCTGCCCCGTAGTTCGGTCCCCAAACCTTTTCTCTCCTCTGTCAGGATCGCTCACTGACGGCTCGTCGGCAGTGCCCGGGATTGAAACGAAGAGGGGATAGCAAGATTCAGTTGAAAAGGGCAGTAATTAATCTAAGTACAACTACTACAAGAATCCACTGCCCTCTTCCTCAGGAAACCTTTGGTTCAGATGCGCGCAGCGAGGGCGCAGAGCCTGTCGGAAGTGAGAGTCAGCAGGGCTAGGCATATGCTGGACAGCCTGTGCTAAACCATTCTAGATCTCAGCTTCTACTGGGCATATGAGCATGGCTTCTTACAAGAGTTCAGCTGCCGGGCTTCACGACTTTGGCTGCATCCACATGCAGTGCTGTGCAGGAGTGAAACATGTGTGGGTGTGCTTTCCGGCTGCTGTGTGTGGAGTAGATCCGTGTGCATCGCCCTCAATGCGCAGGTGCTGCCTGGTCGACTCGCCGACACGAGCAGCAGCAGCGACCCCGGATCCAGTGCAGCGCGACAGGTCCTTCACAGTTCTGATCCGATGCAGTGCATGCATGCATTGAGGTTTCGATCGTACCGTTGTGCATGGGCTCTATGAAGGATTTTGTTCAGATCTTAAGCTCTTTTAGCTTTAGCTTTGAGGGCTACAGTGCACCATGGCTGCAAGAGCCAATGCGGAACGGCAGGCCTTGGAAGGCCTTGCTTCCGAGTGGGAGGCATGCTCGGCTTCCAGACGTCGTTTGTTGCTGGACGGCTACTTGTTAAAGTGGCCCAAGGCCGAACTTACTGGTGTCCCATCATATGCGAGTGCTGCGCTAAACTATGAAAGTTTGGAACCCCTGTTCCGTTTGTGGGCGGCGAACATGCCACTTCCAAAGTCGCCGAGGGTGACTTCTCTACTGGCAGAGGCCGGGGGCTTTGATAGTTCCTGTTCTATAGAAGGCTTGATAGGATTAATGCTGCTAGCTAGTTAGCTAGTTGGTTTTGCAACATCCCCACCAGGTGAAAGCGGTTTGGAACCTCACCGGCCTGAAATCTACCAAGGGAGAAATTCAGTGCGATGCTTGGGGATTTCGGAAATTCCTTTCCTTCTTCATCAAGCGCTTGGCACAAACCACCCGGCCACGTGCCTCTAGGCTGAGCAAGCCGTGCAAATTTCGCATTATGCATGTGTGCAATCCTGACTCGAAGATGTGTATAATTAAGCATCCTACCAAGGAAAAGAGCAACCGGAAGCTGAAGAAAATCTTGATGGAGGCATGGTACCCTGATCGTGTATCCGAGTTACTCAGTGACGACGAAGAGGACCCTAGCATGTTTTGATGATACTAAATTATTTTTGAACCCCGTAGTGGCCCCTGTATTCTCTCCCGACTCTCTCTCGTGTGCTGCAGGATGCCAATGCCCCAGCTGCTGAAGCTGATGACGATGATTACGAGAACTTGGCAGATGACCAGGACCCTGAACCCGAGGAGAATGAAGACGTTGTAGCTTACATGCACGGACGACTGGACGATGCAGATGAGGACGATGAGCCGTCGACAGATGCTGTCTTAGCGCTTTCGAATGAGGCTGAGGGTTCTAGTGCAGAGCCACCTACAGTGGAGGTCCCGGGACACATAAGCAATGCAAGGGCTGAGAATGAGGATTCCAGTGCAAAGCCACTTACAGTGGAGGTCTCCGGACACATAGGCAATGCGAGGGCTGAGAATGAGGATTCCAGGGCAACACAAGCCACACGGGTCTCGGGGCACACGTCTGGCAACAGTGCTGTCCTGGCATCGACGGCTGAAGCATCTGCGGAACCTGAGTTGATTCTGTGTTCGGATGAGGAGAACGAGGCCCCTAAACGTCCTGTTCCCACGCCGCTTCGAGCTAGGGCTTTCATGGCTATGTCAAAAGCCGAACGCCTCAACGATCTCAAGCAGCGACTGTTGCAGTTGATCCTTGGCATGTATATGCAATTGTGACACGAGCATATGTGTGTGTGTGTGTACATGTTTGATATATATCCTACACTGTGGTTCATACTCCGCCCAGGAAGCAGACGAAGGAGGATCGAGTCGCAAAGACGACCTTCCGCCGCGATGGTCCCGTCCGTGGTGACCCTAGCCACTCGTAGCAATTGCTGTCCGAGCACGCCTGGGTTATGATTAATGTATTGCAGCCCCAGCCAAGCCTATAAACCCCGGCACCGATGCATTTGCAAATGCCAACCCGAAACCCTGATCCCGAAACTTCCAACCCTCACTAAGTCCCTTAAACCCCATAGTCAGCCCGTGTTGAACTTTCAGTTATGGTAAATGAACCTTACCTACAGCCACCATGGAATCCTTGTAGCTCCAGAATGCCTCCGTCAAACCCCAAACCGAGGATCCCTAAACCCTATACAGCCCTATATGGCAACCCCTGAACAGAAACCTTATCTACAGCTGTTCTGTGCCTCCTAGCACCCTCGGATTGCATGCACCGAAGATCGCAACACCCTCGTTCTCAATTCAAACCCAAACCTTGAACAACCCTGTTATCAACCTAGCTAGCTTGTCTGTTTTTGCAACCCTACAATAGTCTTAGTTTATCCTTTTTCTTAAAACCCAATCAAAACCCTGAACAACCCTGTATCCCTTCCCAAATCCATAAATGCAGCCAGTGCCCAGGTCGTGTGGAGACACAAACGTACGACATCGAAGCCGTTGCCGAGCGCTGGCAGAACGCCGGCAGCGTGGATGGAGAGTTGGTGGACCTGGGAACCGAAGCAGCTGTGGCTTCGGAAGCTTCTGGGTCTTCTGGGGATTCGGACAAGTTGCCCCTAAAGAGGTTACCGGATCCTGAGGCTGCACGCGACCCCGAACCTTCAGAGTCCCGTGGTGTTCATCTTGCTAGGGCAAAAAGCTTTGCTGAACGTGCGCAAATGTATGACATGAAGGCAGGGGGCTTCGGAGTCGCAAGAAGTATAGTATTCAGGGTGTCAGGTTTTTGGAGTGATATGATAGGTGTGTCGATCTGTGCTAGCTAATGTGCACATTCCCTAAAGGCGGCGGCTGCTGAAGTCTTGACAAAGGAAAAACAGGATGCCATGATGGAAGCAACCAAAGCCAACGAGGATGCAAAGCCAGGTCACGGGCGGGGAGGTCGTGGAAGGGGGGGCAGAGGAAGGGGTGGACGAGGACGTGGAAAGACCCCCTTAACTGCTGATGATGAGGAGGAGGCGGAGCCCGAGCCGACCGAAGCCAAGCCATCCAAGAGGACCAAGAATGCAAAGAAGCATGCGTCGGAGCCAGCCGAGCCAACCGAAGCCCAGCCAACCAAGAGGACCAAGAGGACCAAGGATGCAAAGGAGAGCGCACCGCCTACCGAGCCAACCGAAGCCAAGCCCGCCAAGAGGACCAAGGATGCAGAGGAGAGCGCATCGCCTACCGAGCCAACCGAAGCCAAGCCCGCCAAGAGGACCAAGGATGCAGAGGAGAGCGCATCGCCGGCCGAGCCGAAGGAAGCCAAGCCCGCCAAGAGGACCAAGCATGCAGAGGAGAGCGCATCGCCGGCCGAGCCGAAGGAAGCCAAGCCCGCCAAGAGGACCAAGGATGCAAACGGGAGCGCATCGCCGACCGAGCCAACGGAAGCCAAGCCCGCCAAGAGGACCAAGGATGCAAAGGAGAGCGCGCCGCCTACCGAGCCAACCGAGGCCCACGCACCCAAGCCGAGGAGAGGCCGGCCACCCAAGGCCGGCGGGACCAAGGATGCAGAGCCCCCCAAGCCCAAGAGGAGCACACCAGCGAAGGATGCTGCTGAGCAAACCGAAGCCCCAAAGGCCAAGAGGACCAGAACCAATGTTGCAAAGGAGAATGCTGAGGCTGCCGAAAAGGAGGCCAATGCATCAAGCAGTGCCAACTCCGATAAGAAAGCCCAGCAGGCCCGCCGCAAAGCTATCCGAGATGGCCTGGACATGCCTGTGTATTCGTTTGTGGATATCGACTTCTACTGGAGTCGCAACGGCATGGGTGTGAAACTTCGCAACTGTGCGAATGTGGAGGAACAGGGAAAGCAAGCCACCCGGATGTACGAGGATTAAGCTCTCTCTCCCTCTCTGTCTATATATATATATACATACATACATATATATTTACACACATACATATATATACAAAACTACACATGTACATGTATATATATATATATATATGTCTATGTCACAACTATACATTACGTGGCTCAAACCGTACGCAAACGCTGTCCTTGCAAATCATGTTGTAAGATCTCGGTTATCACACACACATGTATACACATATGTACGTGAGAGAGAGAGAGAGAGAGAGAGAGAGAGAGAGAGAGAGAGACAGAGAGAGAGAGAGAGAGAGAGAGAGACAGTGTGTGTGTGTGACGAAACATGTCCTGTTCCAAATATTGGTCTGAGACGGCAGGGCTGTGTAGGATTGGAGTGTGACTCTATACTATAGGGGTCAGGGTCAGGGTTTTGGGGGTTGAGGGTTTATGGTGAGGTTGTGATGCGGTACCGTGCATGGACCCTATATATTCTCTAAATCCTACATAACCTCTGCAATCAATGAGCCCATCGCCAACCCGAGCCGAGGTTCTCTACTTGGGCTACAAAGGTGTTGCCGAGCACACTGCGATGATCACGATGTGGAAGTTTGCAAGACCAGCAGCTGTTTGTCTACAAATTAAACCATTCATTCCCACCATCCTTAGAGATTCAATTCACAAAATCCCCTGCCTCTCTGAGGCTGATCTCGTTGAAAAGGCAAAGGGCCACCTGACGCCAGCACTCGTGGAGAAGCTGGCAACGATTAAGGAGGACTTTGCAAACAGGTCCGAGGTCTAGTGAGTCGAGTGAGCCTGGCGAACGGTTCCGATACCAATGGTGCTTGTGTGCATGGTGCTGAAGCTTTTATTCAAAGCTGTTCTTCAAAGGATGCAGTTGTGATTCCAGCTGCTACAATATGCCAAAGGCAATGCAGCAATCATGAAATTCAGTATGCATCAGAGCACAGCTCTTCAGTTTCAACGAGCAACGGAGGGCAGCCTGAAACAATTCTCAGAACTGCTTTTGCACAGCCTTGTGACCTGGAGCTGCAAGCTTGAAGATTGCCTTTCGTCCTTGATGATCCCCTTACCAAAATATGGATGCATTTGTCTCCCAGGTCCACACGATGCCCTTCCTCATGCACGCCGTGAAGTTCGGCCAGAACAAAAGAGATGGTGCGCCCCCTCCCGCCTGTGCAGTAAGGTTTTGATCAAGCCATGTACCCAGGAAGCCACTGAAGCACCGAAAAGCCCGACAATAGAAACCCTCGAAGCCCCATGTGTGCAGCCTTCCGAAACCGTGTTCGCGAGTTTCGTCCGGCTCAGGCTAATTGAGATGCAGGTTTCGCCGTTTGAGCACAAGCATCGCCAGAAGCATAGCCTACACGCACATTCTGTGTAAAAGTAACAAATCCTGTCTCTAAACCCTTAACACCGGAACTGGTTCTAAAGCCTTTTATGTAAGCCCTTTCAGACCCATAGATAATTTTGTAGAAGCCCCGTGCATAACCCCCCCTCTATATATATATATATATATATATATATATATATATACCTATATACACACTAGAAGCTGCCCCCACCCTGTAAGAGTGGTATAATAGGAATATAATAGGGCCCTAATATAATCCTATATAACCCTTATGGTCACTATTACAGGGTGGTGGCAGCTTCTAATATATACACATATATATATAAGCCCTATGCAATCCATTCCGGCTGATACAAACCCTGTAGACCATGAAGAATAACAAACCCCAGCTTCGTGGGGTGCTCACTTTGAAAGCTTAAGTCCCGAGACTTCCCACTGCCTTCAAGATGGTCCAGCCGTCAGAGATGGATGCAGTGGTCGCCAGGCTCATCCGATTGGGCTCGCCGAAGGATCCTCGGCTCCACAAGTTCATGTGCTCAGAGTCCCCAGATCTATGCTTTCGAGGCATTCGTCATGTTGGTCCTGTTGTGCTCCTGGCTGAACTTTGCTCAACTCGGCCACAAGTCATACGACTTGGTGGAAGCTTTTGCTGGGCGTGCAGAGTTATCACGATCGTGTCGCAAGTGCAACATACATGCAGCAGCTGCTGACCTTTCCTATGATACCCACGCATTCAGAAAAGGGGGGATGGATTTAACAACACCCTCAGGCTTTGTGTCTCTTGCCAGCAGTCAATGCGACAACATGATGAGTGAGACAAGGTTTTTGCTGACGGTCCAAACCGATCGGTGTATTCAGAATTGTACCCACAACCGAGGCTGCTGGTTCTTCTTGTACTCAGACTACGCCTTGATTCATCCATGGCATTCTTCGCCATATGTTGCTCTTCCTTTGTGACAATTTCCCGAAGTACCACGGGCAGGTCGATTCTACTACCCCTGGGGAATACGGCATTTGCGAAGGTCAGGACAGCCAACCTTCTCGCTAGCAGGCATTGCTTTGAAAACCTTGTTATGTAAACGATCTGTTGAGTTGCTTTGTGAGGGGATGCCTCTGTTTTGTGGGTTTTGGGTGTTTCGGGAACTTGCTGTTGTGTGGATTCTAGATAGGCTCTCGTGCTGATCAGGGATTTGGATTCTTCATGTTTTCGATCAATCCTTATCTACGACCTTGGCTTGGGGTTGGGGGCTTCAGGGGTTGGGGAGATGCTTTGTTGCAGTCTGGCTGCATCAATTACCAGCCCAACCGCAGTCTTTCAGGCTTGATTAGAAAGGATTAAAGGGTTTATAGGGGTTTTGGGGTTCAAGGTTTCAATACCGACCAATCAAGGGTATACAGCGACATAACTTAGCCCCTGCTTAAGCACCCATCTCTTCCATGCTCCCTGACGCGAGACTTAGCATGATTGAGCCCTTGCTTCAGCACCCACCCCTGCTTTGCCTCAACCCTCGGACTAGACAAAACCCCCAACCTACTCCGTAATGTAGCGCGCGATAACACTACAATCGCGACAAAACCAGTGGATGTGCTTATACTTCTTAGCACCAATTAACGAATCGCCAAGGAATGCTACTCGTTCCTGTGTGTATACATGTCTGTAGTACCTTTAGTCCATATTTGCAAAAAAAACAAAGCATGTTCAAACCGTAAATCCCCTGCAGACTGGCTCTGCTGCTGCAGCTCGCCGTGGCCGTCGGTGCCACATGGGTGGTGGAGCAGCCTCGAGGAAGCTTGCTCTTCGAGCATGACCGACTTTCAGAGTTGGTGGAAAGTTGGATGGGGAGGGTCAACGAAACCAGGCTTTTCAAGATTCTGGCTGATCTGTTTTGCACAGTGGCTGGAAATGTGTGGTACTGTAGCTGTGCAGCTGCTGATAAACGCATTGCCCTCCAAGGTATTCAAGCAATCTTTCTGGATGATGCACTTCAAGGCTCCGTCTCCTAAAAGGACATTCCTATGGAGCAACTCCTCTTCGATACGACGTTTCGACTATGGCAAGTTAACACGTGCTCAAATGCAGCGACAAACACGGTTGAAGACTGTTGTTCGTGGGCCGACGAAGAGGGGGCGGGCTGGGTTTACAGGGACTCGATCCTTGAAGTCGACACAGCAGCATCCTCAATTGCTTCGTTGTGAAGATGTATGTCTAAACATGGCTGTAATACTGTAGAGCTATAGCATCCTGTTCGAAGAAACACTGCACTTGAGGACGTACACATTCCATTTTGCCCGCAAAGTGATCCAGACTATGCCTTCGTTGACCGACCCCAACACCAAATCTGAACCCCCTGCGACTCTTCTGCATTTCTGTGTTGCAGGAACAAGTATATAGCCCCTTTGTAGCTCCTTGCTGCCGAGACAATTGCCGGCCTGAACATCATGGAGGAGTTCGGGAGCATGCCGCTGGGTGACCTCTGGCACGATGCAAAGTTAGTGGATGCCATCTACTATGTGAGGGGTAGCAAGTCTTTGAGAATCCCAAATGAAGAATGGCGACGTGTGTTGCCAACCCTGCTCTGAAACAAACTGTTGCCATGGTCGGTTACTGGAGTTAGACTGTACACCTAACAGCTACAGATTCAGGTTTGGCATGCACACCATGGGGCAATCGATGAAGACTCTTAGATGGGTTCTTATTGTCTTATTGTTCTCGAAAGGGAGTAGTCGGGGCTGGGCTCGGGGTTCGGCAGGCTGCTAAAGCTCTATCGATGAGTTTGGGGGCTGTAGTTGTGTGTGTGGGGTGTGGGTGTGTTCGGTTCTGTTCGTTTCTCTTCGGTTCGGTTCGGGTTCACCCCGGGACACCGCAACCCGTACACGCCTGTAGTACCGACAAAACAACCCGTACACAGCTGTACCCGTACATAGGCCGGATTCTCCCAACAAAAGGCCGAAAATAAGCGTGCACCGTGCTCGGGCGTACACGCCCGTACACGCCCGTACACGCCCGTACACGCCCCTACGTGCCTGTATGCTTTGTAAACGTCCCTTACACTCTTTGGTGGTACCCCGCAGCCAATTCTGTGTACTCCCCACACAAAGTGCCCCAGAAACCCAGTATTGTAGCCATGCCTAGTTCAACGCTGGCCGTGGTTGTTTTAGACGATCTAGCTAGCATCCCAGCTCGTGCCTTTGTAGTGGTAAATGCAAGTGTTCTGTCGTGCTCCAGCGATCAGCAGCCTTGCACAACCCTCCAGACTGTGCTATGTGATGTGTCGATAAGGAAGTTCCTGCAATCCTTGAATTTTATGTTCAAAACCCAATGCTAGATTTGGAAAAGCTATATACACTGCACCCAATAGAGATGTATAAACCCGATAATTATTTCTCATATTTGGTACAAGAGTTACTAGTACTCCGTAGCAAAGATCCCACCATGGCAAAACGACTTCGGAGCTTGGGTTCGTGTCTCTGGGAGACAGACGAAGAGGTCACGTTCGAGGATTGGCTGGCCTCGCAACCGGCTGCTTGTTGCTGTGGCAAGGATGCGCAGATAAGGAGTCTTCAGCAGGAGATTGAAAATCTACGTGCCCTTGCCCAAGACCTGCATATCCGATTGAAAGTGGCATCCCTTCCTGCAGTGCCTTCCAATGAGCTCACAGTGAAGAAGCCCGGTATGTCCCGAAAACAAAACCGCGACCCTTGGCACTGGCTTACTCTGCTGCCTGAGACGGTTACAGGTTTGCCTAGAATGCTGGATGACATCATACCATCTCTTCGAAGCACGTCCTTCGCCAACAGCCGTGTGGTCTTCGACCTATGTGGGGCTACTGTACCCTCTGCTATCCTGGACCACTGCGAGATCTCCATAAACTCCGTATTTGGCAAATACCCTGCCATATACAAGATAGGCATAACTCGCAACCCAGTCGAACGTTGGCAGATCGGATATGTCAAAGACACCACCCAAGCCTGGTCAGAAATGAAGGTCCTGGTAGCTCTGAGGGATCCAGTCGCTGTGGGATTCGTAGAAGCCGCCCTTATCCGCCGTTACCAGGGCAGTCCGGGTAATATGAACATCAGAAGGGGAGGGGAAGGGGTTGACCTTTCAGGTGCTGGGCCCTTTTTTGCATATGTGGTTTATCGTTGCCTTGTCCCACCGAAGTGTGCTTTGGCCAAAAGGACATAGCTGTGCTTCCCAATGTTAGGAAATAGTGTGTCTTGCAAGGTATGGCTGTCACTTTATAAATACAGAGCCGTGGCGAAGCTTCTTTGGTGGCTTAAATGCTAGCAACGGTACCTGTCACAATGACTGGTGTGTGCTTGCTCACACCGGCTTCGGGGCCTGCTGAAATCGTTTGTAAGTTGCATGCACTCTGCAAGGCTATTTGACTGAGTCCATATGCACACGGATTGGTGTTATCCCTGAATCCAATTGTTATTATCCGTTCATCTGCAGGAGGCCCCGGTAATTATTTTGCCCTAGGTACTACTGAGTGCCGATTTGGGCTTCTGAGTGCAGCATGGATTATCGTTGCACCGAATCCAGCATGAGAGAAGTTTAGTGGGCCAGCTGTGTCAGCTTGCGATGAACTAATATACCACATGCATAGCCGGCATAGTCTTGACTTGCCTCACATGCAGCTGCTGAGTCATGCCCCGTGCCTGATATTGCCTGGGATCCTCAAGGATTTTTCGTGCCTAGCTGCTTTAGCAAGGGGGCCTTTCGAGGCTCGTCTGATCATGTCGGAGGCCCCACCTGAGACGAGACACCTTGTGTCGAAGTCTTTCAGCACGGCCACTTTGCAGGAAGCGCTTTCCTTGGTGGACCAGCAGCAGGTCAAGGACGAGCAGATTGATGCTGATATCAAGGTGGGCACATTGAGAGGGTGTTCTATTCGGTTCTTTCGGTATCTTGAAGATCGTTGCCGAATCTATTGGGTCTGAGAGTGTGGTAGTACAGGGTTCTTTGTGTGGGATGATCGATGCTTGCATGGAGTGTGCTGCTTCGGCTTGAAACTCATGCAGGGGATTGCTTAGAGCCAGTTGTTTTTTGAACTAGAGGTTAAACTAATGAACAATTAAGTGCAAAATGAACCATTGCATATAAACAATAATGCACATACACTCATATACATTATATATATATACATATATATATACACATGGTCATCCCACCCAAAGCTCGATGTAGAGCTTTAGCACTGCCTGGCTTCCTGAACACCCAGACCGGTACGGTTACCTACACAGTCTATTCTACAACTTATACACGTTGTCTTACATGTTACGTAGACAAATAATGAGGCCTCATAAGTGTACATATGTATATATTGTATGTGTATATAAATACAGTCTAAAGGACTCCAAGACAAAACCCTGGCTTTGAGTGTTGATGTTTTGGCTTGTACAGGGTATGCATAGGAGGTGGTACGGGGCCTAGAGGAAGTGTAAGTAAGGTGTCCCGACTATAAACAAACCCTCTTTTGAACCCCTATAAAGGCCCCATGCAAGCCGACTATAAACAAACCCTCCTTTGAACCCCTATAAAGGCCCCATGCAAGCCCTAAGAAAATCTCGAGGACAAACCAGCAATTCCCAGGTGGTGTAGGGTTTGATGTAGGGTTTGCATGTGGTCTAAGGTTTCTACAGGTGTGGATTCCATACTAATTATATGCTTGAAGTAGTCCTACCCGACCAATCCCGGCCCTAACTTGTCGACCTAAGGCCCAATTACTCCCTGAAATCCACAGTGACTGGCAGGCCCTCGAGGCTGAAATCGAGCGCGAGGAGCTCAATGCGAAGCGTGGCACGAGGTGCACGCCGGTGGCTGGGGCCACTCCTTCACCTCAGCCCACACTTAAGAAGCACAGGGCACAGATGGACTCCGGGGACCTGGATTGTGTGCTGTTGGAGAATGATGATGTGCTGCTCACAGCACTAAAGGATCAGCTCGGCAGCCCCTCCCCAGGCCCAGAAACCAAGCAGATGATGAACCCTATCCTAGAGGATGGATATGACATGGATGTCTCGCCTGCAAAGCTCTTCCTGAGTCCTTACAAGCCCGAGACTCCGACTCCGTCGAAGACAACCTCGAAGACTCCATCGAAGACTCCTGGTCCCTCGAAGACTCCCTCGAAGACTCCTGGTCCCTCGAAGACTCCCTATGATCCCGTGGCAGATGCCGAAACCCAGCCTGGAATCACCCCAAAGCGGCACATCCACTTCATGGACACCATGGTGACGTCTCCTTGCCCACCGACCGAGATGGACCCCTATGATGGCCATGTAGCAACCTTTCCGAATTTAGATAGCCTGTCACGAACTAGCAACCCAAAGCCGAGTCACTACATCACCAAATCCAAAGCCCACGATCCCAGGTTGCATCGCCGCCGGTTGCAGTGGATCCTGGGATGGCTTCAAGTGCTACAGGCCTTCCGAAGCCTTCGGGAACTTCCATGGTTCACTCACAAGAGACCCCGGGGATCCTTTCCCTCCAGCAGAAGTTCGAGGCCTTAGGGTTACAGCTCGATTCGGAGGAGGGTGCAGTGGTGAAAGCTGCAGGGCAGATGGCAGAGGGCAATGGCAGCACCGGTGGTTCAAGTGAGACTTCCAAAGATGCTGAGATTGCCCAGCTGAAGCAAATGCTGTTCATGATGAATGCCAAGCTTCATGCTGATCATGGCCCCAAGGCTCAGATTCAGCGTGAAGCTGAGAAGGAAGCGGCACGTGAAGCTGCACGTGAAGCTGCTCGTGAAGCTGCACGTGAAGCTATGCAGTCTGCCGCTGAGGGGCAGATGGCTGCCAACGGAGCAGCCAAGGCCGAGCAGGAGGACCAGGTCGCCCTGCCAGCAGCGAGGCAACGATTGAGGAGGCTTTGTGCCCCTCGTGCTAACGGCACGTATGCTGTTCCGAAAGAGGTGGTTGACAAATACGTGGCTGGTGGCAACGAGCGCGAGGGCCTTCTCAAGTTGCTGGTCAAACACAACTTCCAAAAGGATTCTCACGGTGCATGCTATAGCTGTTGAACCTAGTTGTTGGTCATTTCCGATCTTTGTGCTTCAGTTCTTTGTTTGCTGAATGATACATAGAATCATCTGTATGTACAGGAGAGCTTCATCAAGGAGGTTGTTGTGCTGACCCAGAAAGAGAAGGCCGTATCGTTGGAGATTACCGGGGATTACTATACGGAGCAAGAGATGAAGGACATGAATGTGCCTGAGCCACTTGTTGTTGAGTCATTAAGTTTAGGGGGCTTGGGCTGTTTGTTGCCTTAATCTGACAGACTTGACAAGACCGACTGTAGACCTTCCGAAATCTAAGGGAACGCATCCGTGACATCATCGCCTTTGGCGATGCCAATCCACAAAGCTTCAGACGTGCCCCACAGCATGCAATAGATGATGTCTATAGAACCCTAGCCCTAGCTAGCTTCAACAAACCCCAACAACTAAAGTCCCACTTCATCCCAGGCTGACACCTACAACAAGAAAAAGCCGATGAAGTATTGGATGGAAACCAAATGCTCGGCTAGCATGCGGCAGTCGCAACTTGTTAGGGAGTCCGAGACGGTATCCTTCGAGCAAGAGGTCGGTGGCGAAGGCAACGAAGTGGAGCTGGGCAAAGATGTCACCTTCGATCTTTCGGGCTTCGATGCCACCATGGGTGACAAAAAGGTCGTGGGTGGAGGATGCTAAGCAGTACCGGCATTGTCAGGGTTGCATCATCATATGTTACTATATCTCTGCCTGGGCCTTTCCTAAGGAGCTCCGGGTCCTGACGATGATCTTGGGTTGCCTTCGATTGAAGGCAAGCGACCCCAGGATCTTGCCAACACCTACAAGAATGCTATCCAGGTTCGGTCCACCAAGATCGCCGAGGCTTTGGGCCGTTTGGAAGCCACCCCTGTTTCCGAGCGCAATAACAACATCAATTCGTGCCCCGCCTTAGATGGTTACAAATATATGGTGGGTTTCATTTGATCTTTCACTCCTCCGCATTATATACTAGAACCACCTAAGGATTTTCCGAGCCCGAACCCAAACCCTGCCATTGAACACTATACCAAGCCACACACTACCCCGAGCAAACCCGAACCCGGTCAAATGTACCCAATCCAATGTGAAGACTCAAAGCCTTCATGCGCACAGTGTGTGTTGACCCCTAACCGCGACAGTTAACATCATCTCAGTCATATCCCAAAACCAGATAAAGACTTTTCGATCAATGCTAAACCCCCTTATGTGGCAGACTTATGTGTATGTATGTCTGTGTGACCCCAGCATTATATAAACCCTTAAACTTATATCTCAGCTCCGAATCACCAATGCATACAAAAATAACCGGTGATCCCAATCAA